AATGAATGCTTCCTTAATTTAGTTTTATATTAATTTCTGCATCTCCAGGGGCATAAAATCAGCATACAGTCAAGATGAAAGAATTAAGACATAAGCTCTTCATCAATAGGCTAATGACATAATCATACTCAGAGAATAAACATATGGAACTTGGAATATTAATGCAGGGTTTATATTGTCAAAGACATAATAGATACAAAGTTTAGCAAATAGTAAGATTTTAGTGAATGGATTGAAAACTCTGAATTGTATATGGCTCTTTTGGTTATTTTTAATGCCTATCCCCCCACCCTTCATGGGTTTCCCACCATTGTCTGCCCTGCTCTGTGATCTTAGGAAGAAGTTTCTGTGGGTTATAGAATCTGGAGATCCTATTCCTCTGGTTTATGGATGGTGTGGTTAATAGGATTGAAGAATGGAAAAAAGTGATAATTGTGTTCTTTTCTATACTCTCCCTGAGTTTGATCTGATAAGGCTGTGTATCTATTACTGTTGCTCCCATGGGAGGCTCAGCAGGCCTCCAGCTTCATTTCTCTTATTTACCCTGAGCATTATCATTATATTTTACTTAATGTATGCATATGGAATCTTTACTCTATTTATTCATAATTATATCTTTCAATACTCAACTAGAACAAAGGCAACTAGGAAGAATTGCTATGCTTTTATGTATGGACTTTTGTTTGGCTTGATCTATTCCAGTGTGTATGAAGCCCACACATAATTATCAGGGAGTCAGAGAACCTCAAGTAGTTTTAGAAAAAAAGAGAACTTTCAGAAGAAAGACCCTGTGTGTGGTAAAGACTTCTCTGTCCACATTTTTGTCTACAGCATGGCCTGCAAGTGGCTGGTGGAACAGCATGGGACAGTGTGAAAGAAGGTAGAAGCCTCTGCTCAAGATACAGCAGTAGTTCAGTATGGTGCAGACAAGAGTCGAAGTTCCTGGGGAACATAGCATTTAATGCTGACATCACAAAGGCTTTAAAAATTACAGGAGATTAAAAAATTGTGTGACCTTTGAACAATTAATTATACATGGAAGATATGAGCATTCTATTTTAACAGAACTGGAACAAGTAAGTGACTGGTGTGGTTTTTGGAATAATATTCATGTACGTACCCAATATTCAGTGAAATATTACTTTGAACAGCTCAAAGTACCAAACACTGTGCTAGAGTTAAATGAAAGATCCAGTTGTGTTCTCACAGAACTTACCTTTCGGTTTGGAATAGAAAGCAAATATGAGAATGGGACACAAAGACCAGAGAAAGAGAAAGAAACATAATAATGAAAATGAATGATTGGTGAAAAGATGCCTCTTCTAGCCACACCCAAGCTACCGAGTGAAGTCTAATCTTGTAAAGTTGACCACTTTTCTCACTGTTTATGTTTGGCCTGGTTTGCTGAGTAAAGAGGACAGAAGATGGGTAGTTGCTCCTCCCAGGCAGACTTCTGCTTTAACCTGTTCTTTGTGCGGCAACAATTCCCAGCCTCTCAAAGTCAAAGATGTGACCATTATATGCCCTATAATTTCTTGGCCTGTGATTTCTTATGAGTGATGTATTGATCACAGTAAGTGTCATTTCCCTCCCAGTCCATGTGGATAGTGGGATAAGGAGTCTTTTAGAGTGAGAAAGGAAGGTGGGAGATGCTGCACCCAGATCTGAGGTGAGCCGCAGCCTCAATCATCCTGTTGGTACTTGAGGAACATCCACTTGGTTGATTAGACTTGAAAACTTGGAATTCAGGTATTCCCATTGTCATCAATACATAGATAACCCTAAGAATTTATCCTAAGTATTTAGGGTTATCTACAGAAATAATTTTTTTAATTTTTTTTATATTTTTATATCATTTTTCATTTTTGCACAATGTAAGCATTTTCATCTTGGTTATAGTCCCCATACAATTCCCATCCCCCTTGTTTTGATCCCACTCCCTCCTCTCCACCCCTGCAGTGTGTCTCTGGCTTATAGTTACTTGCTGATTTTGACTTTTACTTTATTATAATTAGTCTTTTTCCTGGTCTCTTATTTAGGTTTTCTAGATTCCTGCTATGAGTGAGACCATCCGGTATTTTTCTTTTTCTTTCTGGCTTATTTCGCTGAGCATGATCCCTTGCAGCTCCATCCATGTTGCTGCAAATTGCATGAGTTTATCTTTTATGATTGCTGAGTAGTAGTCCCTTGTGTATATGTACCACATCTTCTTGATCCAGTCATCTATTTTTGGGCATTTGGGTTGTTTCCATAGCTTAGCTATTGTAAATAGTGCTGCTATAAACATAGGAGTGCAGGTGTTCTTTGGAATGGATGTTTCTGTGTCCTTTGGGTAAATACCTAGGAGTGGAATTGCTGGATCATATGGAAGCTCTATGTGTAGTAGGTCCAGAAATCTCCACACAGCTCTCCATAGTGGTTGGACCAGTTTGCACTCCCACCAACAGTGCAGGAGAGTTCCTTTTTCTCCACATTCTCGCCAACATTTGTTGTAGCTAGTTTTTTTAATATGTGCCATTCTCCCTGGTGTACGATGATATCTCATTGTATTTGCATTTCCCTGATTACAAGTAATGTTGAACATTTTTTCATATGCCTGTTGGCTATTTGCATTTCCTCTTCAGAGAAGTTTCTTTTTAGCTCTTCTGCCTATTTTTTGACTGGATTATTTTCTCTGATTTTGTTGAGTCTCATCAGGTCTTTGTAGATTTTTGTGATCAGTCATTTATCATTAGTGTTTTGTGCAAAAATTTTCTCCCAGTCAGTGGGGTATCTCTTTGTTTTGGTTACTGTCTATTTTGCTGTACAGAAGCTCTTTAATTTGATGTAAGTCCCAGCTGTTTATCTTTGCCTTCACTATCACTGCTTTGGGTGATGTGTCTTTAAAGATGTTACTGAGGTGTATGTCACAGAGAATCCCAAAAACTCCACAGAAAATCTAATCAAACTAATCAATCAGTTTAGTAAAGTAGCAGGATAAAAAATCAACACTCAAAAATCAGTAGCCTTCCTATACACAAACAATAAATCTGAGGAAGAAGAAATCAAGAAAACCATCCCTCTTATTATTGAAACAAAAAAAAAATCAAATACTTGGGAATAAACCTAACAAAAGAGGTAAAGGACCTACACAGAGAAAACTATAAAACACCATTAAAAGAAATAGAAGAAGACACAAAGAAATGGAAAGACACCCCCTGTTCATGGATTGGAAGAATTAACATTATCCAAATGGCCACTATGAGCAATTTACAGATTCAATGCTATTCCAATAAAAATTTCAATGACATTCTTCAAGGAAATTTTCTTTTTAGTAGAGAAACCTATGTGTAAAGCAGACATGTAGTTACAAAGCATTTGTTTTTTTCGTGTGAGTTACACTCTTCCTTCATTATGTGAGTCCCCCTTCTCTCTCCTTGATGCCCAGGCCCCTATGCTATTCATTAGCTCATCAACAAAAAACAACCTGTGTCCTATTTACACTAGAATTTACACTCATGTAAATTCTGTATATATGTGTAATTAAATATTATTTTTCTCCTACTAATTTGTGTGATGATTTGTTTGTTCAATTAACCCAAGACGAACACAGAGGGGGCAAAAGGAAATTGTCCTTTCTCTCCCTTCACTTGTAAAACCATTTGCCATAAGGCAAAGGACCACTTGCAGGAAAATACCTAAGCAAATTATTACAGTGTTACCATCAGGTTGAAACATCACAGCTGCACAGGGTTTCTTGTTCATAGTTAAAAAAGAGTCTCAAGCATGCTCAGTTGGCAACCACCCAAATGAAAGTGGCCTCCTCACCCAGGACCCCGAGCGCTGACGAGAGAACAGTTGGACTCTACATGAGGTGCACCACACAGTCGGAAACAATCTGTACTGATGGCTTCTCTGCCAGCCCAGGATTCTGGGGACTGATGGTTTGAGTTGGAACTTTGGCTAGAGGGAAGGTCTCTGCCTGCCTCCCCTTCTAATGAGTAATGCTGAAAGGACACTAACTTGTACCAGCACTGGTTAGATTGCCAGTTGCTCAGAAAGCTACCTGCAAATTTATCTCTGACTATATAGTAAATATTTTCAATAAGAGTTGGAATGTCAGTGAATGAAAGTCCTCAAGGTCCTTCCCTTGGGAATGATAACAGTTAACTAGCAGCTTCAGAAGTACCCAGGGCAGGTTCTTCTGATCTTTATACATGGCCTGTGCAGAACATGCTGCTAATTCCTGTATCTCCCACTTTCTTCCTTAAAACAATAAAGTACAACTGACACATTGACACAGCCTCTTTAGCCCCTTCACCCAGAAGTGAGTAGAGGGTAATAAAGTGAGATTAAAACTGGAGGATGAGCAGCAGGTTAGGCACCTTCCCCTGTGAAAAGTGACTGAAGCTACTCTTAAGAAACAAATGAGTGCCCGCAGGTCCAGTGAGTTTTCTTTGCATTTATGATGTCACTCTCTCTCTCTATACTAGAAAACCTCTTAACTCCAAGGTTTGTTTCAGAACATTGGATACTTTCCTGGATAATGCCTCTGTTTTAGGAATATTGCATTACAACACTGTATAAGTTTCAGGTGTTCATCTTTGGAAATCAACATGCTAAGAGACCATCTTAAATTTCATGTTCACAAGCTAATAGAAAGTTAAGGGATTATATTAAGTATAATCTGTAATCATATATTCTATACCATAGGTTATATCACTCTCCACAGTTGGAATAAGCTCTACCTGAATGTGCAAAATTCGTTACTTAGTGTCTCCTCAGAAGGCAAGTATTATATCTTACATGAATTTGCACTTGACATATTATCATGCAATTTATTAGTTATTTTGTATTCTGGGTGAAGACTAACAGTCTTTCTTCTAGTGTTTTTTTTTTTATTCACTTTTATCACCCCTTATAATATCTGGCCCACTGCTCTAATTGCAGTGACTTTCAAGAAATGCCGTTGATTCTGAAACTGGAACTTCTCAAACATAAGTAAAATTTCCAGATCTTACCATTCAAGATGATTTTCCACAAATGCAGACATGGGGCTGATCTGCACTGTGTAAGTATCATTTGCAGAGTACTCAAAGAGTCCATAGTAAGGGTTGAATAGCTCCTGAGACAAAAGGAAGAAGAACTCTCGAGATGGACCGCTGTAGTCCAGGCTGCAGAGAAACAGAAACCCAGGAAGCTCATTACAGATGCAAGGAGGTGGTGGTGATCATGGTGTTGGGGTGAGAGTCTAACTTTGTCCAGGTGTTAGTGTGTTCTTTCAGAGTTATCCTGGGGAATTCAGAGAGCAGTCTAAACTTGTTAAAGTGGAACCCAATGAGTTTCAATCAATTTTCTCTAGAAAATGAAGATGTAGTAATTGGTTTGGGAATGTTCTTACTCAGTTGTGTATGAATGAACTTTTATGCCACTAGTCCTTGACTTTTTTGTTTTATAATACCTGTTAGATAAAATCTACAGCTGGTCCATTTAAAACAAGGACTCGGTTGGGGGGAGGCACAAAAGAACTTCTTATACAGCAGTGCCGGTGTGCATGCTTTTGTGCATTATGTGTGAACTTCCAAGTTTATTCTGATATGCCTTCCTGAGTGGGCTTGCTCTCCACAGTGGAGATACTTTGCTGTTGAATTTACAGGAAAATTTGGTATTTAGTTACTTAGAAGTTTCTATCACCTGACAAAGCAAAGAGCTGGTATTTTAGGACTATATATACTATAATTTTGGCTTACACTTTACTTTGATCATGTAACCACAAGTGTTTGAAGGACTTGAAATCTAAAACTTGGCAATACCTGGAGAGAAAGACATCCTGAAAGGACATGATCAGAATCATCTTGGGACTAAGAGCTACCCTGCTATTTCTTGAGAAAAATCACTCATGATATGGGGGCTCTGGTTTACCCACATTGGTGTAGTATTTGCAAAAACAGTTAGTGTCTCACCCCTCCTCTCCAACAAAGGTGATGTAGAGCTTATTTCGCTGGAGTTCTTTCCGGGAATAGGCCATCACCTGATTGAAGGTTCCCTCCAACAAGTGGTCCCGGCGGATGACAAGTCTGAGGAGAAGAAGTTGTGGGTGGTTTTGAGTGGTGGCTCTGAAGCTCCGATGTTGGAGATTGGTTTAGATGAGCTGTGAGTGCCCAAGGTTATCATCTCACTCTCTAGTCTCTCCAAAGAGAGGAAACGGCAAGGTGCAAGTTCTGTCAGTTTAGTAATGGACTCAGTCAAACACTCTTTAAAACACTGGGTCTACAAGGATAAGATGTACACTATAGGGCCTCCCCTGGTGGCGCAGTGGTTGAGCGCTGGGCTGCAAAGCTGCCCGCAGCCTCTGCAGTGCCAGTTTGATTCCTGCTGGCCGGGTGAGGGTCCCACATGATGCACAGACCTCCCCTGCCATGCCCACTGCTCCCCTCAGCAGTGTACTTCATCAGTCTGCCTGTTCTGTTCCCCGCTCTGACTCTGGTGAATCCTCTCACCTTCCCGCACTTCTGACTGTATCCAGTGCTTGTATAAATAAATAAATAAATAAATAAATAAATAAATAAATAAATAAATCTTTTTTTTTTTTTAAAGATGTACACTATAGAAGCACAATTATAAAAATTAGATTCTTTCCATCACATTGGACTAGTTTTAAGATTCTTTTTGGTTAATTCAAAAAGAATGATTTAAGTTTGATTCCTGAGTTTGGATTTGCAAGATGAAAATAATAAACTCAGAAGGGAAAAACACTTTTTACTTAGACTTCACCACAAAGTTACAGAGTACATGAATTTGATACATTAAAATTTTCCCCAAAAATCTATAGGGAAATGTATGATTTTTTATTTAGCTTGAGATTCTTTGCTTTCTGAATAGGTCTACCATTGATTTTGTTTGTGCCTCTGAAATATGCTATTTCTTGTCTCTCCTTCCTTTTTTTCTTTCCTTCTGTTTTCCTTGCAATTTCCTAACTTCATTTTTAAAAGATTTATTTTATTTACTTATGCGTACAAGAGCTGAGGTGTAGGCTAGATGTGCGGCAGGAGGTGGGGTGAGAGGGTTCACCAGAGACAGAGTGGGGAGCAGAACAGACAGATCTACTGAAATACACTGCTGAGGGGAGCAGGGGGCAAAACAGAAGTCTGCTGCACCATATGTGGGTTAGCTCCCTAGCAGGGGATGGAACTTTTGCTGCAGTGGCTGGTGATAGCTTGACAGTGCTGGGACTTTAACCCCTGCACCACCAGGGAGGTCCTTAACTTAATTTTTTGTTCTTTTCAACTTCCGAACTTTCCCCCTTCCTCCTGCTTATAAAAATAACTGTTACCACACCATAGTATTCAATCTCCAAAGATTATTACAAAGGAAAACAGAGAAGAGCATAGACAAATCTACTATTTGAATCCAGTTGCAAGCACAGGATAACTCACTTAATTTTTCCTGGACCCTGACCAAATCCCTTGGCTTCCAATTTTCGATAGAAATTGCGGAGCTTGGCCTCAAAGTCTCTTCGGTAGGGTGAAGGTGCTCTTGCACTGGCTCTCTGTAAACCTGCAAAGAGAAGCATGCAGGCTGATTGTGATCACTTTTAATCAAATAATATGTGCAGGGCAATAGTAGAGGAAAGGCCAACCAGAGAGTCATTCCTATGTCTTCATATTGTATTTCTCCAAGAAACTTCCTTTGATTTCTATCACTCTTTCAGTTACTTATATAATAAACAGAAATAACAAAGAGAAAAATGAATTCTGGTGACATTTGTGTTTTCCATCTCAGTTATTTCAGTTTGTATTTCTTTTGCACATTTTTCCTTGGCTTACTTTTATTTAAGTGATTTAAAACAATATAAATCAAATTAAATAGTTCTTGTAAGATGCTATATTATGAGAAATGCTGTAACTACAAAGAGGCAATAAGGATAATAAGATATGTGCTTGCTGTACTTCCTTATCTATATTGATGCTAATATATGCACATCTGTTCAGTAAGGCTCAGAACATTTATAAATTTATATTAGATTATCTTGTAAATAATAATAATTACAATAATAATAATATAATAGAGGAGAGTTTTTTTAAAGCATGTAGGGTGCTTTGTGAATACTTTATTATCTTTGTATATCTTTTAATGAGAAAGGAATGAAAAACATAACATTCCCCTCCAAGTTTTACAGAAGGCCAGAATCATGATCTTCCCTTTCAATAACTATATTCAAAGAATTGAATTTACAATCTAGAGAACACTGATATCAATAAACTCACAGAAATGAGAATATAATTATAAGTTGAGATGATTGTCATTCATAAGGGAAGGGATTCAGTTTTTGAAATCATAGAACACTCTGACCAAGTTCATGAAAGTTTCCTTTGGGGAATATCTGAAGAATAAAAAGGCATAAATTAGATTGAGTGAGTCAGGGAAGACTTTCATTTAACTAAGGAAGAGATAAACTAAAAAAAAAAAAAGTAATCTAAATAGAGTACAACTGTACTACAGCAGGATGTAAATAATGCCTAGAATACAGGGTGTGATTACCAGAGTGCTACAAATTAAGGTTTGAGAGGCAAGCAAGAGACAAATCAAATAGGATAAAGAACATAAGCACAATACAATGTAACTTAAGTTATGAAAACAAGGTTTTCTTAGTGCTTTTTGTTTGTTTTTCACAGAGAGAGAAAAAACTAGAGAGGATTAGAATATATTTAGAATCTAAATTGGATTAGGACATTTTCAGTGGAGATGAGGAGTGAATAGAGATGTGTTTAGGAAGCAATGATTCGGACATAGGTAGTAAGGGAGAGGTGGGTTACAGGGAGAGGTGGACTGTGGTGACATTCATTGAAATGAGCAACACGGGAACAAGAATAAATTTTGGACTGAGATCATAACCTTTGTCTTTAATGGCCATAGCTCTGAATGTTTGCAGAGATAAATAATTTGAGAGATAAGAGAAAAAACCTGGAGCTGAGTTTTAAGGATGGTAGGAAATTAAGGATGAGTTGGCAAAGGTAGCCAAAGAAATAAATGAAATGCATACTATGCTGCATTTCTGAATGCTGAAAAACCACTGGATTGGGTGTCAAGAGGTCATGGTAAATTTTGTTAGCAGCAGCACCTCTGTTGCACAGGGAGTATTAATATCTTTGTTAGGTTTATAGGATGGTAACATAATTTGAGAAAAGTCTAATGGCTTTAATTTTCTTGATGAAGGAAGAAAGGATATAATTTGCTAGGAGGAAAATACAGGAGTTAGAGGTTTGAGGAGGTGTGTAAATGTTTCAAAAAGCAGTAGAAAAGAGAGTGATTTTACCAAAGAAATGTGGTAGAATTTTCTTTGGGGTAATTAAAGATTCAAGTGAGGTGATAGGCAACTAATTTATAATAAGTAATCTGCTCTACCAGGTGAATTTGCCTGACTACACATGCAGAGAAGCAGATCTTGAGTTTTATCTAGGGGTGGATTTCTACAAAAGAAATGGAAAGGATCAGGAAAGTTTAGGGCACTGGCAAGGATATTCCTGAAATGATCAACCACGCCTCAAACTGGAATAGTGAAAGACTACCAGAAAGGAAAGGGTGCGGAGATTGGTGCATGAACTGGAGATTCTGGTGAAGGCAAAGGATAATATTAAGGGGAGTGGTAAAGTAAGAATGTTGGATGGGAAATGGATGTTTGACAATTGATTTTAGAGATGACAACAGGGCAAGAAGGTGAGTGTGAGAATAGTCATTCAGTAGAAAAGCAAGAGGTGTGAACAGGTGTCCTTGTGTATGCAGAAGTCTTCTGCAATGACAGAGAGACTTAGAAAGGAAAGGGGCACTATTAAACAGGTGTCACAGTCTTTGAGAATGATCAAGAATTTGGTGGATGATAGCAACTGGGGGGAAATACATCTGATTGTTGTAAGCAAAGGAGCTTGGAGGCCACCAGCCTTTGAGGCCACCTTTGGCACTGCAGTACTTGAAGTATTAGGGAACAAAATAGCCATCACTTGAAGTGGTTTTTGGTTTTTTTTTTTTTCAGTGAAATGCCAGGTTTCACAATACAGGTAGAACTAGTATATAAGTCTGTATTTGTACAAGTATAATTTTCAGTCCAGGAGACTGAAGTGTACTTTCATAACATGACAAATGGCCTACCACTATCCCAATAGTCATCCTATGCATTTTTCTAATAATTTCTGCTTTACAACGTACTTTGGAACCTTGATTCACTCTTCCTGTAAACTTAGGTTAATTTCATAAAGGTATAGAAAAATGGAAATTGTGAAATTTAACTTCAAAATATCTGGCTTATGTAATTTGGGACCTCATGTTCAAAGCTAGGAGAAGAAAAACTTTGAGAAAATGAATTGCTGATTGCTTGGATTCATGGCATCAGTAATACCTGTATCCTATTATAAGGACAATTGATTCCTTTTATAAAAGTTAACCAAGTAATTCTTATTTAGCAAAAACTATTTGCAACATATATCTTACACAGAATTATGTTACAATAACACTCTACTTCCAAAAGCTTTGTCCAAAAATAGAAGCACATTATTAGACTGACATAATAATCTCTGCAACAAAATGGCAATTCAGTATGCAGACTGCAGACCAACACTTCCTCTAAGTGGAAGGCTCTGTGTCCCAAAAGTAACTGGTGTGCACTGGAAACTTGATTGTCCTGAAAGAGAGAAACCTCCTGGTCCTCCTTTTCCCAGACTGTGGACTCTCAATTACATCGCATTTTAGAGGTTGCATGCGTTGGACAGTTCCTTAACAACCCCCTTGGTACACTTATTTGGAGGAAGTACCAAGGAGATACTGACTTAAAAATAGATTTCAACAAATAGTTAAATTACCTTTACGAGACAATTCTAAATAAAATGATGTAGAAGAGCCAAACTTAGAGATATTTTAGTTTTAGAGACCTATGGCAGTATTGAGCGATACTGAGAGAGACAATGCTTCTGAGGACAGAACATATTGCTAAATTGTGTTTCTTTTCTGAATTTCCCCATTGGCTTCCAAGTGGAAGTGTCATGCCCTCCCACCATTAGGATTACATACCTGAGGGTGGGCACCTGCATTTGTTACATTGTTATTAAGTTGTGTTGTTTACTTCTGTGGACCATGACTGCAGTATTGAGATATGAGAGAAAGAGAGAGAGAGAGAGCCGGGGAGAGAACAGCCAGAGAAGCCCGGCCCCTCAGCCCCCCTGCCTATCATGTACTTGCTTGCTACACTACATGTAAAAGCTCAATAAAAGCTTGAGAAAACCACCGAGGGCTCCAGGCCTCTCCTTTACCCTGCTCTGCTTGAATCATAAACAACCAGATCTAAAACAATGTGATAATACAATCCAAAAATATGGGACAACTCCCCAATATCTGGATGGATCCCATTTAGGGTGTAGATTTGACTTAAACTAATTATCTTGATGAACTTAGCAAATAGTATCTTCTTTTTGCACTGAAAAGATCATTGGGGATGGAAAATACCTACCAACCAAGTAAATTAATTCTAAAAGAAAGAAAACTTTAGGGGAACAATTTCACCATATGAGAAAACTCTTTGGCATTTTCATGGAACATATGAGGCCCCCAATAGACAGAATATAACATTGAAAAGTAACCAAAATTGGCATTTAATAACATTTTGAGTCATAAGTCTGAATATTTCAGAAAGGAAGACCCTTTATGAGGTAAGACCCTTTGGAATGCTTGGACAGTACATTTGGAAAATACTTGCAATCTCAAGAAGGAGTAGGCAGACTGAAAATATATTTGTAAAGGACCAAATAGTAAATACTTTAGGCTTTTGACCATATGGTCTCCATTGTTTCTACTCCACACTCATGTTACAGTGTGATAGTTGCCATAGAAAATATGTAAACAAATAAGTGTGGCTGTGTTCAAATAAAATTTCATTTATGGACACTTTATACAATGTGCTTTTGATAAGAAAAGTGAGAGGTGAGAAGGGAGAGAAGACAAACAACGCTCCTTGTCCACCTTCATCTGGCGTAAACACAGATGGCTACTCACAGGAGATATACTGCCAGATACTCCAGTTACCTGGGGAGCTCTGAGGTGATGAACAGGGAGAACAGCGGGGAGAGAAACTGTACCCTGGGTGGAAGGCAGCTTGCAATGGGACATAAGACATAATCTCTTCTTCAAAGAGACTGCAAAATGGGAAAAAAAAATAAAGAAGTTGGTTCTCTGTCCATGAGAGAGAATTCATGAATTCTCACAAGAAAACAGAAACACTTAGATCCAGCTGTGACACTAAAAGGATTGGCGCATCCCACCTTGCAAATATACTTGTTAATATTTTGACAGTGTAGGACTTCTCCCTTTAGGTACGGTCACTGTAGCTATCCCACCATCAAAGCAACTATAGTCCTCCACCATAGTCCATTGTGCCATTTGCCACCCACTATTTTCATCCCACCCCCTTGGGATGCCTCAGTATAGTCAGCTTTCAAGGGTTGGCTTTAATGTTTGCCTTTATCTGACTCTTTGATTTCTGTTTTCCACATGTAAGTGACAACAGTTGGTATTATCTTTCTCCTTCTGGCTTATTTCTGTTAGCATAATCCCTTCCAGCTCCATACAGGTTGCTGCAAATGGCATGAGTTTATCTTTTTTGATAACTGGGTAGTATTCTGTGTTTGGAAAACCAAATTTTCTTGTCTAAGCATCTGCTTTTGGGAATTCAGTTTGTTTCCATATTTTGGCTACTGAAAACAGTGCTGCAATAAATATAGGGATGCAGATTTCCTTTCAAATTTATGTTTTCCTTGGTATCCTTGGGTAGCTACCTAAGAATGGAAATGCTAGATCATATGACAGATCCATTTTCAATCTTTTGAGGAACTTCCCTATTACTTTCCATAGGGGCTTGACCAGTCTATGTTGTCAACAACAGTCTCCACACCCTTACCAGAACTTGTTGTTTCTGGTCTTTTTAATATGGATAATTCTCACTGGTGTGGTTTTGATTTGCATTTTGCTGATGATTTATTTATTTTTAGAGATTTATCTATGTATACAAGAACTGGGGTACAGGCCAGAGGTGTGGGGCGTGAGAGGACCCATCAGAGACAGAGTGGGAAACAGTACAGGCAGATTGACTGAAATATTTTCCTGTGCATTTTGGCATTCTGTTTGTCTTTGTGGAAGTATCTACTTAGCTTTTCTATCTGTCGTTGGGGTTTCTTGTTTCCTTTTTGTTGAATTGCATGAGTTCTTTGTATATCTTTGAACTCATTCTCTTTTCAGAGGTATGTTGGCAAATATTTTCTGCTATTTGGCAGAGTACTTCTTCATTTTGGTAATCTCTTTTGCTGTGCAGAAGCTTTTTAGTTTGATGTAGTACCAGGTGTTCATATTCTCCTTTATTTTCTTTACTGTTAGGGATGAATCCACAAAGATAACTCCAAAGCTTATGCCATGAAGTGTTTTGCCTATGTTTTCTTTTTATTTATTTATTTATACAAGCACTGGGTACAGTCATAAGTGTGGGAGGGTAAGAGAATTCACCAGAGCCAGAGCAGGGGGCAGAATAGGCAGACGGGCGAAGTACACTGCTGAGGGGAGCAGTGGGCGGCAGGAGAGGTCTGTGCGCCATGTGGAATCCTTGCCCGGTGGCCAGGGATCGAACCTGCGCTGCAGAGGCTGTGGGCAGGTTCGCAATCCAGTGCTCAACCGCTCCGCCACCGGGGAGGCCCTGCCTGTTTTCTTGTATGTATTTTATAGTTTTGGCTCTCGCATCCAAGTTCTTTATCAATTTTGAGATTTTTTTTTTTGTGTATGGTGTAAGCTAGTGATCTACTTTCATTTTTTTTGCATGTGGTAGTCCAGTTTTTCCAGCACCATTTATTGAAGAGGCATTTCTCGTTTCAATGTATATTTCTTGCTTTTTTGTCATAGATTATCTGTCCATATATGAGTGGTTTTACTTATTTATTTATTTTTAAATTTTTTTTAAATTTTTTTTTTATAGAGGCATGTTTTATTTATTTGTTTATTTATTTGTTTGTTTGTTTGTTTGTTTTGTTCATACATGCACTGGGCACAGTCAGAAGTGCGGGAGGGTGAGAGAATTCACCAGAGCCAGAGCGGAGAGCAGAGCAGGCAGAAACGAAGTACACTGCTGAGGGGAGCAGCGGGCGGCAGGAGAGGTCTGCGCGCCATGTGGGACCCTCCTCTGGTGGCCGGGGAGCAGCCTGGGATCGAACCGGCACTGCAGAGGCTGCAGGCAGCTTCGCAACCCAGCGCTCATCCGCTGCGCCACCAGGGAGGCCCTTATTTATTTATTTTTAAAGATTTATCTATGCATACAAGAACTGGGGTACAGGCCAGAGGTGTGGGGGGGGTGAGAGGACCCATCAGAGACAGAGTGGGAAACAGTACAGGCAGACTGACTGAAATACAGTGCTGAGGGGAGCAGCGCACCAGTCAGGAGAGGTCTGCTGCACCATGTGGGTAGCTCCCTGGCCAGCCAGGGATTGAACTTGTGCTGCAGTGGCTGCGGATAGCTTCACAGGTTGTGTCTTAAGCACCAGGGATGCCCTGAGTGGTTTTATTTTTGGACTCTTGGTCTGTGTGTTTTTTGTTATGCTATCTTTTTTTTTTTAAAGATTTATTTTATTTTATTTTTCATTTATACAAGAACTGGGGTACAGGCCAGATGTGCAGGAGGGTGAGAGGATTTACCAGAGACAGAGCAGGGAACAGAACAGGCAGACTGACAAAATACACAGCTGAGGGGAGCAGCAGACGAGACAGGAGAGGTCTGCTCGCCATGTGGGTTCCTCCCAGGCTGACAGGGACTGAACCAGCACTGCAAAGGCTGCGCTCAACTGCCTGCACCACCAGGGAGGCCCCAGTACTATGCTATCTTAATTATTATGGCTTTATAGTATAATAATGAAGTCTGGACATTTCCCCGTTTTTTGTCATGAGTGCTTGTAGGGTAAATGGTTTTACAGGCATTTCTGCCCTCCCACCATTAGGATTTCCCTGCCTATTGGGACACCTACAGTTGTTACTTTGTTACTTTGCTGACTTGTTTACTTCTGTGGGCCATGGGAGGAGTATTGAGATAGTCACTGAGAGAAGCAGAAACAGGAAAGAGGCAAGAGACAGAGAGGCAGGAGAGAGAAGGAGTGAAAGAAGGCCAGAGAAGCCCAGAGTGAAGGCTTGCCTGGGGCCTAGGGGCCTGCTGGCCTCCTGGCCCCCGGGAACCCCTGCGTGCCGTGTACCTGGTTGCTGCAATGCATATAAAGCTCAATAAAAGCCTGAGAAAGCCACCGAGAGCCCCAGGACTCCACCTTTACTTGCCTGTCTGCTCGGGTCCTACAAAACCTGCTCAGGGCCCATCCTGCCCCTACAGTACTTTTGCTGTTCCATATGAATTTCAGTGATTTTTGTCACATTTCTTTGAAGAATGCCATTGAAATTTTTACAGGAATTGCATTAAATCTGTAAATTGATTTGACAGTGTTAATTCTTCCATTCCGTGAGCAGGGAGTGTCTTTCCATTTCTTTGCGTATTCTGTTTCTTTTAGCAAAATGTTATAGTTTTCCTTGTATAGGTTCCTTCCTTTGTTTGGTTTATTCCTAGGTATTTATTTATTTATTTTTGTTGTAATTTTAAATTGGATGGCTTTCTTAATTTCTTTTTCTTCTAGTTCATAATTTGTATATAGGAAGGTAACTGATTTTTCTGTGTTGATTTTGCTGACTGCCACTTTGCTGAACTGTTTACCGTTTTAATTAGTCTTTCATGGAGTCTTTTGGGTTCTTATGTCTGTTGTCATATCCCTTGCAAAAAATGATAACTTTATTTCTTTCCCAATTTGGATTCATTTTTTATCTTTTTCTTGCCTAATATATGCTGAATAGTACTGGTGAGAGTGGACATTTGTCCTATTTCTGGATCCTAGTGGAAAGGCTTTCAATTTTTCACCATTGAGAATGATGCTAGCTGTGGGTTTGTCATATATGCTTTTATTATGCTAAAATAGTCTCCATTTATCCCAATATTTCAAGGGTTTTCACCATTAATGGATACTGAACCTTATAAAATGCTTTCTTGGCATCTATTTACATGATCGTAAGGGTTTTATCTTCTTTTCTTGATGTGGTGAATTACATTGGCTTATTGTCAGATGTGTGTCCCTGGTATAGATCCCACTTGATCATGATGTATAATGCATTAATGGATTTGGCCTGCTAGTATTTTATTGAGGATTTTTGCGTTTGTATTCATTAGGGATATTGGTCTAGAATTTTCTTTTGTGTGTGTTGTTTTTGGTTTTGGTATTAGTGTAAGGTTGGACTCATAAATATGTTTGGAAGAAATTCTTTCTCAATTTTCAGAAAGTCTGATCAGGTTCAGTATTAGTCTGTCTTTGAAAGTTTAGTAGACCTCTCTTGTAAAGTCATCTCCTCCTAGACTTTTATATTTTTTGAGTTTTGATTACTGTTTCAATTTCATTGTTGTGATTGGTTTGTTTGGGATTTCTATTTCTTCTATTTTCAGTCTTGGATGTTTGTACAATGCTAAGAATTTGTCCATCTCATGTAGATTGTTGAACTTGTTTGCTTATAAATATTTGTAGTAATTTTCTTATCCTTTGAATTTCTGCAGTGTCTTTGTTAACTTCTCCTTCATTTTTCTTCCTTTCTTCTTGAGAAGAGAAAAGGGCAGATTTGTTGAAAAACACTGCTAAGTGAAATCAGCAGGTAAGACAGGAGAGGTCTGCTGCACCTCCTCTTTCATTTTTGATCCTATTTATTTGAGTTTCTTTCTTTTTTTCTTATTGAGCCTAGCTAGAAGTTTGTCTATTTTGTTCATTTTTTTTTCAACGAACCAGCTTTTGATTTCATTGACCTTTCTGATTTTTTGAAACCTATTTCACTTATTTGTCACAATATTCACTACTTCCTTACTTCTACTGCCTTTTGGATTCTTTTTATTTCTTTTTAAAGATTTATTGATTGATTGATTGATTGATTGATTTATACATACATGCATATAAGCACCGGGTACAGTCAGAAGCGCGGGAGGGTGAGAGAATTCACCAGAGCCAGAGCGGGAGCAGAGCAGGCAGAAGGACAAAAGTACACTGCACTGCGGAGGGGAGCAGCAGGCGGCAGGAGAGGTCTGCGCACC